TATGCAGTAATAAATAAGGCATGACGTCATCAAATCGTCGAGTGAGGTGTTGAATTTGCAAATTCCGCGAATACAATTGTGAATTTCTCGGTAACTATTTCAGCTATGATAATGGTTGTGTTATTGTTTGTTGGAAAATAACACAAGAAAACGTTCAAATTAAAAATGAAAAATCAGACGCAATAACATTCAAGGTTGATTTCTACAAGTTTCTGGACATTCGATCGCATATTTTGGAAAATGTGTCACCTCACGGAAGAAAACTCCAGCATACGCTTTGGGAAAGGCATGAGGGTCGTTTTAGGGCTCAATGGTTGACGATAATGAAAAAGAGACCATACGAAATGGCCCCAGTATACGAGGCTAGACAGGGTTTTTATCATCGCGAGTTTCGCAAATCGTGTTCAAATCCCATGTCCACCATCTCACCGAGGGGGTAACGAATTAGGTAGATTCCTGTCTTTCAGTGGCTGCTTTTACAGAGCCTCCTTAGGAGCGAAAGACCCGAGTAAGCGTCATATAAAAACAACTGAAGCACTTTGAAATATTTAACCGTAGCCTGATATGAATATGCCAGTCGTTACCATGTTACTTCTGATTGAATGTAAAGGCATGGCAATCACTAAAATGAAGTTAAATTTTAAAATTTGCGATATTCGCGATATTGCCACAGCCTCTAATATTTTGCGTTGTTAGCTTTAAAAGTCACTGTTGCAAATAATTTATGTTTTTATCTCATGAATATATATATCCAAGACCCAATGACCAGGGATGTCCTTATCGTTTTCGTTTAGTGCTGTAATCGAATAGTTTTTCACAATTTCGGTTAATTGTAAGCTCTAGGGTGCGCATAAAGACGCCCGCTCGATTTTGTTGTTCCTTCGCGTAGTCGTACTTTTTGATGCAATGACTTTTGAAACAGTGGACAATGATTTTTTGTTGCGCCGAGTATTCAATTCATGACCGATCCCAGCACTTAAAATGTATTTCTATATTAATTGTATTCAGCGTGAATCGTGGTTGCGTCGACTTACGACAAAATACTGTAGCGAATATTACTATATTATTGACAAATCGCGCAATTCTTCCACTCGGTTGAATTATGCACAAACCAGAAAAGTTTGTTATAAGAGCAGAACCAATTATATTAGTATTGTAACCGGAAAGTATGTGTTTTGCAATGATTATCTTTTTCGACTTCATTAGTTAAGGGTATAATATATGTAGATTAGCGAGATACAGCGAGCCTGGCTATGTTGCAAGTTAAAGGCCTCGCGAATTGAGTAACCTATGCCGAACTGGATAGATTACGGTTACTCCAAAAAATGTTGCTCATTACGTATCGATGTCTGTTTGCCCATATCCTTCTTTAGAGTGAAGATGCGAAAACACCGCACGCAGATAATTTTGGTGGTTTTGTAGAGTCAAAAATGCTCCTACAATGTAAATAGATCGACACTTGATATTTTAATTATAAGGAAACTATTTGACTTTCACGAAGAAAAAGCTGATTAGCCGTCAGATTATGTTTGCGATGACAGTAGTTCTCACAATCAAAATAAGACAAAAATACTCACCACAGACTGTTGTATCTCATTTTATTTTACATAACGCAAAGCAATCTTGAAACCTATTTATTTATCGTTTTATTATTTTAACGATTGTTATGTCCTACCCAACAGGCCATAAGTCATATGTTTCATATACAAGTCTAATACCAACACGGGATTTTGAACGCGGTGTTCCAGCGATAATAGAGCAATACTTAACTATGCAGGCAACCCAGGGTGTAATAGCTGAACCGAAATATCCCTCTCCTATAGCTTCTTACATATCTTAATTTTCAATGGTTTCCTGTATATGGTCTTGTTCGTAGCAAAAATGCACACGTTTGAATGGGGCGGTAATTATCGTTGCGATGATTGAATATGAAAATCGACGCTGCTTAAAGGTGCGTTTACACTGGACGCGTTGCGCCGCGGCAGCGCCTATGGTCGTTAATTAGAAATAGAACAGAACAGCGAACACAATTTGAAAAATAGCATACTGTTTCCAGAGCAATTGAAGTTAATAAATATGGAAGTAACGTTAAACAAAATACTGTAGTCACACATTACAAATACGAAGCTGAGAAAATAAAAGTCATATACAGTATACAATTAATCATTGAAGAACATTGAAATTCCAACTTACCAAGTTTAAAATAGAAAGCTAGTTTGAACACCGAACATAATTACAAAATGGACAAAATTGAATAAAAAGACTATTTCAGACTACGCAAGGACATGTGCAGAAAGATAATTATTATAAATCATCATCAATATTACAATTCATTGTGTTGAATATCGACAAAACAGTTGGATTAATTTTGCATTTTGCAATGTCTGACCATCAGGAGTAATACAATTGCCATATTTTGATCATTTAATAAAATTAACCAAGTATTCACTACATCGCACTGAACTAATTTTAACTATAGTATATTATTCAATACATTTGTACTTGGACATAAGCAGTTGTCCATTTTTGGAAATTGTGGATAATTCATTACAATCCATCACCCTGAGTATGCCAAATAGAATTCTATTCAATGTAGGGTATATTGCTCACTGAATACCATTGCAATTTAGTACAATATGACAAAATCCACTTAATATTCAACCCCCACAGGGAAGCAAACAAGTCATAGAGTATAACAAAAAAGCTATGCTCAAATATATGGACACCTCACAGGATGTCGCTATTTTTCATTCTGACACATAAAAAACGAATCTCTTGATGTCCACAGAAATTTTCGAAATAAGTAAAAGTAATAGCCTTCTGGCAAAGAAATCAATCTTTCAATACTGAAAATTTCAAAGCAATTGGTCCAGTATTCGGAGAGAAAAGCGATTTCATCATGACGAAGGAGAAGAATAATAACATAATATTGAAACGATCGCTATGTCCACTATGTGTCCAATAACATTGAACAGTCAGGAGAGACTTCATGTATAAATATGCATCGAAAACAAATAATATCATTGGGCGTGGAATTTAACTAATAATACTATAACTTTGACAGCCATAATTTACAAATATAATAAATGAATGTGAAATAATGTGTCACTCGACCAGAAGCGTCAAAAATCGCTCGCCGAGTGAAACTGAAGCGACGCCGCATACCGCCGCCAAGCGCGACGCTTTGTGTGTAAACGGCGTCATTTGAAACGATGGGGAGCGATCTCGGGCGCATGCCGCGTCGCGTTGCGTCGAATCCAGTGTAAACGCATCTTAAATGATATATACTTTATCCTACAAAATATTACAATGGTAAAGACCTTTCCCTATAATTATTTTTATACTATGACTGTTTTTCACAAAGCTTATTCGCGTCTTCTGATCTGAGGATTTTGTCTCGTTGTATGAATGAGCCTAATCAGAGTAGGTTCTTTGGGTCCAAGTCGGTAGCAAGAGAAAAACCTTTGTTAAATACTGAAAGCGATATATTGCCAGGAATCAAGCAATCATTAAATTGATTAATCTACACTAGTAGTTCTCAACTTATGGTACACGTACCATTAGTGGTACGCGGGAGCTTTTTAAATGATATGCAAGCAGCTTTGAATTATTGCAACATTTATATTTTACATACGGATCCACTAGCATAAAGGCATAAGGAAAAGATAGGAAGTTAGTCTCGCGCAACCCAACTCAAATTTATTTTTATATTTTGAGTTGGCTAAAATATGAAGGGAACAGCTTTTCTTTATTTTCCATACTAAATGTATTCGCTGAACGGGGTTATAACTTTACCGGTCTCTGTCTTTATAGCTATTCTACAAAGTGGCCAACCAGTCAGACATCGGGAGCCGCATTTCGTACTTTATTACCGCGAAGAGCCACATTATAAACCAGAACACACTTGAATATTAGATATATACAATTTTTCATATCTTCTAGAATGTTAGTTAAATGTCACTAATTAACATGATTATGAAATAAATTTACAAGTCATTTTTTGTTATGCATGCTACTTAGTGGAACTTCTGGCGTTATTTGGATTGAACAACGTTCTTTAAATATAGTTTGCTTGTGTGTCGATGTAGCTAATCGAAGCAGTTCTTTCACATGGGTGTCAGTCAAAACAGATCAATGGTTTGATGGCATGCTTTGCCATAATGGTCCCTTTCTATAAAGCGCTTTTTCGTTGGTCTCCCCCATAAAGATCGATCATTGCGAGGTAAAATGAATAAAGGCGCACGAAAAATTGTAATATGTTTAATCAAATTAAGATAATTCGTAGTTTGCAAGATATTTTTTCATTGAAATACCCAGGCAAAAATAGCCGCATAAATCCGACGCAAAAGCCACATGAGGCCCGCGAATCGCGGGTTGGCCACTCCTGACCTAAAAGGAAACGATACGGGTATGTTTTCGCCCGTTTTACGTATTACGTCCACAATGCATCTGCATTGAGAAATCGGCAACGACGTTTTGCGGGAGTGGTCGACGCTTGTCGAGATACCGTACCCTTATAGCGCATTGATACGTCATAAAGATGTTGCTATTGCTACCTGATGTACGTGTTGGCTGATCGGCATAATGTTGAGTTTTGAGGCTAATTAACTTGGAGACTAGGTTCGTGACAGGGTCTAGACCCGACAAAAGTGTATTCGTCCGAGTTTTGCAATACATTGGTTAGTTTTGCGATGATTAAAGGTCTAAAAATGGATGTAGTACCACATAAAATATGATAGCACGTTTCTTGTGCCATTGTTCCCCACCACAAAAGTTTTATTTTGTGGTACGCAGGCAGAGTAAAGAACACGAAAGTGGTACACGCCAGTAAAAGGTTGAGAACCACTGCCTTACATCAATTATAAATAAATTGAAATGCAAAATAACTTGGAGCCACAGCGTGTTTGATTCATTTTGAACTGAAAAAGGTTTCAGGCATGAAGATATATAATAATGCAGAAAATATGTTGATGGTCAATTAAAATTTCTTATTCACTCACTTTGCTGCTCCCAGCGTGTTTTTTAAAAATCCTCATGTGACTTGTTTTTAAACTAGTGTTCCAAAAATTGCACTGCCAAACGTCGTATATCGAACAAACATCGCCAAATTGAGAGGAGAGAGTATTCGACATGTTGCCATTCACCCCCGAGTTCATGAATCACCAACTATGAATAATTTACAAAATACTGTGTTAGCATTCAGTCAAAATATTTATATTCTAAATATTTTATCAGGATATGTTTGGCTTGGCTCTTGGGAAATGTTCAAGTCATATTCAAATTATGCATACGACTGCACATCAATGTATATTGTTTGAATTGTTCTCAAACTTTCATCCCGAACGGGAATGTGTACTTCAACCACGGATACTCAAATATACATTTCACTTATTTAAATGAAATACCTATTGTATATAGTATATACAATGTAAGATATCTATCCATTAAAAGTATCTATCTTCAGTATGAAGTACTGAAATATATTTTATATTGAAGCATGAAATGGCCTTTCGCAACTGGGTGTGGAAACCTTCGCTCTTGCTTGCACGTGATGGCGGCCTTCAAACGCTCAAATTTGAATTGACACTTCTGAATCTCAGCTGATTTACAATAGCTTCCACTATTTTGTCATAAACTTTGTATATATATATATAAGCTAAAAAAGTACCCATATTCGCCATTTTGAACATCAATTTTGATAAGTTCAATTACCAAGTTATCTATGACCAATTCAATATTGAGATTTAACTATGATGCTCAATGCTCTCGAAAATGATGATAAAATATATGGCATGGTTCTTGGAAGGGGGCCTTGAGTTGTCATTTTTAAAATATCTTCATCACAGTTGCCTATTCCCGCGTAAGCTATGTCATCTATACAACTAAGCCCCTTTCATTCAAAAACAGTTAAAAACGTGCAAAATCACCACAAAAATTGAAAATACCGATAAAATATATGACATGGTTCTTGAAAGGAGCCTTAATTTGTAATTTTGAAAAATATCCCTGTCACAATGCCTATTCCAGTGATAGCTACGCTCTCTATATAACTAAGCCTGCATTAGATACTATTCAAGACAAAGCATTGTATGTTGAAGGGGCGAGTGTATATTGCACTCGAAACGTAACTGCGATTCACAGAATTATTTGCCTTGTATAAAATACTGTGTAGATAACTTTGATTAATAATAATTCCTTTATATACCTTTTTTGATCCATTACTCTTGCTGAGGATTCTGATGTGATCTTCATTAAATCTTACTTCAGCGTTTGTCGCGAACGTATCAACATGGGATTCAACAAACGCAGAAATATCAGAAAATACTTTTGCGCTCATTCTTGTTGAAGACTTCCAAGTAAATATGTTGATCTGAAGGAAAATGTAAAACATTGATTTCTCAACTCATTCGATTGTCTTGTACCTTTCTCAACAAAGTATAAAAAACGATACATATTTATATAAAACTCCAATACGCTTAGTAAGATTATGAAAATGTTAACTAACTGCTAGTTTTTTTGGGGGGGGTTTATATAATTTAAGGTTTGAAATTGGTTTAAGTTTGAATCTCCCAATCTATCTTGGCAATTGTTAAATAAATAGCAAGGTTACTCAATCACTCGGTTTACGTCAAATTTTCCGTTTTATTATGATAGCATGCAAACGGTTTTAGTTATATAAAATTGTAATACCGTTCCATGTCTGTAGGTATCTGCAAATGCCAGCAAAGCGTCATCACTGCAGTAGCAATGAATATTGACTGATGCAGCAGCAAACGATTGCAGAAGAGAGCTCAATTCTTTCATTCCGTCGCGTGATATTTCGACTTCTGTTTGGGTGAATTCAAAACTTGAAATCTGAAAAATACATTTATTTTAAAATGCTACTACAATCAAGACTAGTGGGCTTAATGGTTCCATTTTTTATGGGGAAATACGAGCGCCACATGTGTTCCCCAAAGGTTGGCAGAAAACTTAATTAATAAAAGAAAATATTTGTACGGACAAATTTGGGAGAGCATAAACATAACGAAACAAACCTCCAGCTGAGTATTATTGACATTCTTTCTCAAAATTCCGATTGACTCGCTATCTAGACTGCAACGGGAAAAACGCACGAGATCTAGCTTTTCGCTGAGTCGCATGACCGATGCAATCGCTAGCATTCCACTGGGGTTGATTGATGTATTTTCGAAATTGATAACTTTGACGTGATCCTTGATTAAATCAGCATCATTTGCTTCGTATAGAGAAGCAAACATTTCCATCAAAGAAAACGAATCCTGTGTTTTTTTGAGTTTCTCGTCCATGCTACGTCTCAAAATGTCCCGTTTTTCGTTTTTTTGGTCAACTGCAAAAAAAAAAGGTAAATTTATTTTTTATCCGTTTTGTGCAAATGTTTAAACACTCATGTACAAAATTTGGGTGCTTGGATTGATGCTGTCAAAATAGATATCAAAAATAGTCAAAAATCATGACAGAGCTTGAAAATTTATGAAATTAGGTTTGATAAAAAAAAATGAAAAAAACTCACTTTTGAGCAATTGACCAAATTCATCTTTCGCTAGAGTGTCGTTGAGTAGACTTCCACAGTTGAACCTTCGCACTACCGACCAGTGATCAAGATGAAGAGATTGATGCACGAAATCTTCAAACTCTGGTAAATTCATCTCACAAACGTAAAGAGCAGCGAGTATCTCTTGAATCGTCTGGTGACTGAAGAAGAAACGATATTGCCCGTCAAGTAAATTTTGTCTAAACATTGAATTGCCTGGAACTTTAATAACAATGTCCCTGATGTTTTTCGTATCGATGCCACTGTCTTGCAATTCTTTACTTTCAAATACGACGCGTTTTTCTCTCGTTCCAGTGAATGCGATTTTTTTCAGTTGGTGAAGGATTTCTGCGATTTTTACCTTCTCGCGTATATGCTCGGATTCGATTAAAATTTGAAGAATGTTCATCATGACACCGGTCATGGTATCCGGTGTGTTGTCAGGATCGTATGACTGAACGATTGCATTAAACACCAAGAAAACAGGAACAGAAAAGAGAGGGATTAGAAATGGGGCAGTTGAGCTTATCTTATTCCACTGTCGTGGGCCGATATCGCCGAGCAAGGCTACAAATAAATCCTTTGCATCATCAGGGCTTAGTCCTGTCAAAGCGTAAATAAGATCAGGTCGAAGTTTACCGGTTAGTGGGGCAATGCAATGCTCCCGAGAAGACATGACAATTTTGACTCTGGGGAAGAGATGGCTAGAGATTACGTTGGACATCACGGTTGCTGTGCTAGCTTTTTCGCCGTGCTTTATTTTTTGATAGGATTCTTGGAGAGTCCACGGTGCCTGATCCAACCCATCAAAGAAGAAAATGACATCTTCCTGATTATCGATGACCCATTGATATCCATGCAGAATGGTATTGCCATCCAAGTCAGTAATTAAGTTGCCAAACAAGAGTTCTTGGGCACTAATTGCATCGGAGTCAACAAGATCACGAATATTGACAAAATGAACAAGTTTAAATCGTTTCTTGAACCACTTTTTGAAAAGGCCAGGTGCTGAATACCATTTAACAATTAAGCCACTAGAACTGATTACGTCGCGGACCATTCTATTTGTAATGGTGGTTTTTCCGCTGCCTGCTTGACCGACTAGTTCAATATGTCTCACTGTTTTATCATTGAAAGTTTCAATCAGTTCTTGCAATGAAACTCCTACCCCCTCAGTGACATGTTCTTGCAGAGCACTAAACCCAGCTTCTTTCCTGTACTCTGTTTTTTTTGGTGCCATTTCTCCATGGTAAAAACGAGTTATTCTTTTTATTTTTGGATAGACCTCAAACGTCGGTTCCCTGAGATTCTGTTCTTTGTATGCTTCAGTGACTCGTCCAATTGATTGCTTCCAAGCCCTTTTGCAGACAGTGTTTTGAAACTTCGATACATGTTGACCTATTAATAATTGGTTGTTTCAATTTCAATATATATATATCTTGATTTTCTGAATTTTCATTGTTATTTTTTAATGTAACCATTACCTACTTTAACTTCGACTGATCTTGAACAAACTCAATCACAAACTTGAATCACTCAATGGCAAAGAGAATAATTAATAATGAAAATAATATATTTTTCGTATTATCAATCCCGTGAAATGGTTTATACAAAATTAAATTCATGCTTGCATAGTGGTAATGCTAGAATACTTGCTATTGAGCAATCGTACGTGTATAAACGTAATGCACAGTGAATTTGCTAAACTTTTGACATAAAGTTCACACCTAAAATTATTATATGCAAATGTATCCTCCATATAAAACAGATTTTTTTGCTGTTCTTATGTATAATAATATCTAATCTAGAAGCTCAACACCTAAATTACTTCGCTTATCTTAGTTGAAACCCATTTTTGTATTTTGAAAAATGAACTTTTCAAATTGAAAATGGTTATAATATGTATTTATTTAACGGGGATGTTGTTTTAATCAAGGCTTAGAGTAAAAATTGTAATTGATAAAGAAGTATGGTATTCCTAGTTATTGTATCAGGATTTGTATTTGATGGAGGAGTATGGTGTTCTGAGTTATTGTAGCAGGATTTGTATTTGATAGAGGAGTATGGTGTACTGAGTTATTGTAGCGGGATTTGTATCTGATAGAGGAGTACGGTGTTCTGAGGTATTGAAGCAGGATTTTTACTTAATATTGAAGGGTTTTCTGGGTTGGGATTAGTGAAAGTGGTATTTGATAGAGGAGTATGGTGTTCTTAGTTATTGTAGCAGGATTTGCATTTGATAGAGGAGTATTATGTTCTTAGGTATTGTAGCAGGATTTGTATTCGATAGAGGAGTAGGGTGTTCTGAGTTATTGTAGCAGGATTTGTATTTGATAGAGGAGTATTATGTTCTTAGGTATTGTAGCAGGATTTGTATTTGATATGGGAGTAAGATGTTCCTAGTTATTGTAGCAGGATTTGTATTTGATATGGGAGTAAGATGTTCCTAGTTATTGTAGCAGGATTTGTATTTGATATGGGAGTAAGATGTTCCTAGTTATTGTAGCAGGATTTGTATTTGATATGGGAGTAAGATGTTCCTAGTTATTGTAGCAGGATTTGTATTTGATAGAGGAGTAGGGTGTTCTGAGGTATTGAA